CGATGGAATTTATTCCATCGGTAAAATCATTAGTAAATTGTGAACATTATTTATCATGTTAATTACAAAGAGAATTACTGACTGAAAATTCCATTAGTATTTTTCAGAGAGCTCTAGAACTGTTCACTTTTCAACTGCACTATTAATTGTTGTTTTTTATGGATAAAATTACTAACGAATTGAAAAGTCATCGATGCTATTTGGTGGTTATATGAAAAAATTCAATTAATTTAAAATTTTCATTGAAATATTACACATGAAATTATCGACGGATTGAAAAATTGTTGGTGATTGTAAAACTTTCCATGAAATTAAAAATTTCAATTAAATATTACAAACAAAATTACTGATGAAATAACTAAAAAAATATTAATATTTAATTATCCATAGGTAAAACCATCGCTAACATACCCCAATAAAAAATATAAATCCCTTTATTTCACAAAAGACATACTCATTTCTTATTATTATTATTCTTATTCTTCCTCTTCTTCTTCTTTTTTCTTCTCCCTATACGTAAAAAACATCAATATATATTTCTTTCTCTTATCTTCTCTCCTCATCTCCTTCTCTTCTCCTTTATGTATGGGTGTATCTTCTTCTTCTTTCTTCTTTTATCCTCTTAGTTTTTTTAATTAATATATTTTGCAAAAAAAAAAATTTCTCCTTAGCTTCCCCTGCAACTACATTAAGGTAAGATTTTTTTTTCTTTTTTCATGATTTTTTTAACTATATATTTTTTTATTTTTAATTATTTTTGTTCTTAATAATTGTATGAATGTTATTGTGAGATTTTTTTTCATATGCAATCAATTTCTAGTTGATTTATTTATAGGATTTTTAAATTTTTAGCAATCACAACTTTATTTTTTTCATATGAATTTTTTTAGTTGAATTTATTTTTTCATTTTATTTATTTGTTACAAATTTGTTTGAGTTGATTTTCTTCTTCTTTTTTCCAAGCATTTTAAGTATATATTATAGAGTGTTGATTTATGTTAATTTAATTATTTTATAATTTTATCAAATGGATTTTTTAAAAATGTTTTTAAATAATTATCAATGGTATTTTTTGAGGGATATATCGATTAAATGAAGTGAGTAATTTTTTTATACATCTGCTCTGTTAGTAAATTTGTCAATAATAATATTTTTTATTACTAATGGATTTACCAATGAACAAAAAATTACCGATAAAAAATTCACTAATGGAGCCTTTCCATCGGTGATTTTGTTGGTAAATTAATTACCAATGGCATATGTGTCTTACACTGACGGAAAGACTCCACCGGTAAAACTATTAAATGTTGTATTGTATCCAATAACTAGCCCTTAAGAACCTTACAAAAGCTTCTCTCACCACTATAAAGACATATTCAAGAATAGTCAAAAGATAAATCAAAATATAGTCATAGTCACAAAAGTAATTATCATCATTACCATCATTTCTCATCAAAGACTTCTTCTAATATCCTGAAGAAAAAAAAATAGCTTGAAAAGAAGCTAGATATGTGGTTAAAAGATTCTCTAATGTGGAGCTATACATCCCCTATCAGGTAAGGGGTTCTTAATAAGCTAAAAGACTATTGGATACTCATTTTTCTATAGATTTCATCACATGTGTATGGTGTCATGACGATCATCCTCTCGGAGTGAGATCTTCGTGGTGATAGGTGAAAAAAATAAGGAATTCTTACTTCTTATTAGAAAATAAGATGCCACTTATTATTTTGATCACTATGAATTTTATCTAGTCTTAGAGTCTGAATAAGAAAACTAGTTATATATATGGAGGACATTTTGCTTCTAGTACACTTTACTTAAGATAATCTGTATTATTTTTTTATATAATATAAACTAACATATTGTTGTGTTTTCTAACTACTGGTCTATCTAAGGTTTAAAAAGATTTCTTCTCAGTAAATAGATCTTTATCTTATCAAGTTAAAACCTAATTATTCTGATGTCAAAACATAAAAATAAAAGAAAATGTCTTTTTTATTCAATATTGCATGATTGTAATTTCTGATTTGATGGGTTGGTTTTGTTTGGAGAAGCTAAAAATGCGAGGAAAAAAAGGATATTGGCATGAAGGAGAAGTTATGGGTTGCTAGAAGAGTGTGGGTTGGTTATGTGGTGTTGCTATATTAGAGAAGGCATTGATGTTTATAGAAGAAGGTTGTTAATGGTTGTATATATATATATATATATATGAAGAGATAATCAATGTGGTGGTTGGTCACGAGGGAGAAGTTAAATCTTGGTGTCTATTTTTGTTGTTCACAATGGATAAGGAGAGGTCATGTTATTTTTTTTAACTTTTTCAAAAAAAAAAAAGGTGTTGGTGTGTGTGGGAAATGATGAGAAAATGTGTATGTTTTTTTCCTGCTACATATTATTACTCCCCTTTTTTTTTAGCTAAAACTCTCCTCAGATTCATCTTATTTTATATGTGATACAACTACCTATTTATAGTGAAAACAAATTTGATCTAATCCTCCAAATTGCTTGGTCCCAAACAACTAAAAAACACTATCTTCTCTCATTTTCTTTTTGCATTTTTGGTCCCCTTATTTAAATATTTTTTTTATTTTTCTTATTGTTTTGTATTTTTATATATATTCTTTAAAAAAAAACATCAACATCGACTCAATAAAATTTATCAATTATTTTGAAATGAGCCCATTAAAAATTAAACATGTCAAAAGTAAATTTTTAATTCTCTTGAAAAGATGCAGAAAATGTTATAGATAATACAAATATATCAAAAAAAATATTTTTTGGATTTTTATTTTTTTGTTATTTTTTGAATTTTTTAAAACAAGTAAGAAGAAAAAGTCAAAAATCAAGTTATAATAAATACAATGAGCTCATAAACCCAAAAGAGCATGTGAAAAATATGCATATCAATTTAGAACTAATCATATAGAACATAAACTTCATGTGTTAGATTCTCTCAATTATATTTCATGAGTCAACCCGAATATAATATTATTATGCAGATATCAAATTCATTATTGGTTTTGAGAATCTCTTTGCAAAGCTTATAATTCATTTTCCCAAAAGTACCTAAACCAAGAAAAAACTTTATTAAGTTGTTTGTCATCATCTAAGATGAGAATAAGGTCAACTTTTTTTGTCTATTAAATTTTATCTCTATTTTTTTTTGTTTTTTTGTAATTTTTTATTAATATTTTTTTATGATTTCATATTTTAAAATTAAATTTGTTAAGAGTTAAGTTTCTTAATTGAACCAATATTCAAGACTTCACAAGTTGTAGGTTTTAGGGATTAAATCAAGTTTAGGAGGTTCGCTTGAGTTTACTTAGATTTTTTTTCAAACTTATGTTTTCTTTTCTTTTTTCTTTTTTAATTTTTTAAGGGTTTTTTCTATTATTTTGTACAAATTGATTTTATTGGGTTAGCCTTTACTCTTTTTTTTTCTTCTATTTCACCACCTATCATTCTTTAATCTGTAAATAATCTATCAAATTATAAATGTTTTTTAGTTTCACCCTATATGATTTTTAATATTTTAAATTTGATATTCATTCTTTTAATTAATATTTATTTTTTTTGGGTTATTTTTAATTTTTTTTTCAAATTTCATTCTACTTAAGTTTTTTTCTCTCAAATTTTATCCTTATTTTTTTTGTTGTTTGATTTTTGCTTTTGCAAGTTTTTTATTTATTTATATTTTTTAATAATTTTATCATTTAAAATTAAATTAGTTGAGAATTAAATTTCTTAATTTAACTTGGGTCCATGATTTAATGAGTTACAAGTTTTAGAAATTAGATCAGGTTTAGAGGTATTATAATCAATAATATTCCTTAAGTTATTTTTTCTCTCAAATTTTACCCTCGTTCCTTTTGTTTTATTTTTTTTTCTTTTGCAAGTTTTATTTATTTATAATCTCAATAATTTCATCATTCAAAATTAAATTAGTTGAAAATTAAGTTTCTTGATTTAATTCGAATATAAGATTTAACGAGTTGCAAGTTTTAGAAATTAAACCAAGAGTTAAGTTTCTTGATTTAATTCAGATATAAGATTTAATGAGTTGCAAGTTTTAGAAATTAAACCAAGTTAATAAATATTATAATCAATAATACATCAAAAATATAATCTAGCCTCTGATTGTTTGCTAGAAAGTAGTTTTTTTAAATGGTTTCCATAAAAAGTGAATTATTTACCGATGTTTGATATTGTCATGGAAAATGAGTTTTAAAGTACTTTTCAATGTTTAACTATGTCATGAAAAATAATATGAAAAATAAATTATTTATAGTTTAATTTTTTTTAAGTTTATTAAAAGAATGAAAACTAAATTTGATAGATAAAGAAAAAGTTAAAGGATAATGAAATTGAAAAAAAAAAATTCATAAACTAATTTAGATAAGACAAATAACAATTAAAATATTAGAGATCAAATCTTATACATGAAAAATTAAAAAAATAAAATTGAATAAAAATCATGAATTATTTAAAATAAAATAAATAGTAATTAAAAAATAAAAATCCAATCCAACAAATAAAAATTTTTAATTAAAAACTAATTAAAAATAAAAAGAATAAAAAATAAAATTGATATAAAAATAAAATTAAACCAAACTCCAAGAAACCTAATGAAAAAATAAATTAAAATAAAATATTGAAAAGAATGAAAACTTAAATTGATATAAAAATAAAATTAAATCAAACTCCAAGAAACGTAATGAAAAAATAAATTAAAATAAAATATATAACAATTCAAATAATGAGAATGAAATTTGATATAATTAATTAAATTATAATTAAATAAAATAACAAAAAAATTTATTTATTTTTCCACACAAGATAAAAAAAAAGATATTTTACTAGAAATCAAATTAATTTTTTTAAATTATTTTTAATTAACTAATTTTTATAACAATAAAAAGATTTAAAAAAATTAAAAAATATTTTCCATAAATCGAACGGTCGCAATCTCCAGATCCGAAAGAATCAAAAGAAAACCATACTAATTGTACCACACGCAGAGGGACACTATTTCTAACCTTTTCTCTCCAATCTCCGATTCATAGTCCAAAAACCCCCATCCGAATTGGGTTCTAAAATGGGAAAAGGAGGGGGTTGTGTTCCGAGTAAGAAAAAACAACCGCCAGTCTCCGACGATCCCGTCTCCTCCCGGGAAGCCGCACCAATCCCTATTCACGACGGTGAAACTATTGATGTGGCAACTACGTCACTAGAGCCAAGAATTCCATCAAAGTTAAAAATCTTTATAGTGTTTTACTCCATGTATGGGCACGTGGAAGGATTGGCCAAGAGAATGAAGAAAGGAGTGGATGGAGTGGAAGGAGTTGAGGCTTTTTTATATCGGGTTGCGGAAACGTTATCTGATGATGTTTTGATGAAAATGAAAGCTCCGGAGAAAGATGTTGGGATCCCGGAGATTACGGCGGCGGAATTGATCAACGCGGATGGTGTTTTGTTTGGGTTTCCGACAAGGTATGGCTGCATGGCTGCGCAAATGAAATCGTTTTTCGATTCGACGGGGCAATTATGGAAGGAGCAGAAACTTGCTGGCAAACCTGCTGGGTTTTTTGTTAGTGCTGGGACTCAAGGAGGAGGTCAAGAAACTACTGCGTAAGTTGATAATGCTCTCTCTCCGTCTCTTCTTCAAGATTCAAAGTTAATGTTGTCGCTGTTGTTATGCCAGTCTAATTTTTACCGTCTAAACAAATCATAATTATTTTTTGCAATTTTTCCTTACGATCTCAGTTTCTTGTTGATTCCTTGCTTAGACAACTAGGAAAAGCTAAATTTTGTTTGGTAGGAGCTATAATTATTTGAATGTGCAAGACATGAGCCTTTCATTCTTGAAGATTTTATACAGGATGTGCTTTTCATATTAAATCAAGCATTGATTTGGGCCTCGGTTTAGGTTAGAAAGAATGATTCATGGAAAGTAGAGGCACATAGTCGAAACAGATGCAGGGAAACTTGTTTAGGCTCTAAACAAATGGTCGATAGAAAACCTCGGTGGTCTGTGAATTAGTGCAAAAAAGAGAAGAAAAGAAATTAATTTTAATGAAAATGAGGCAAAGATATAACTCAATAAAATCAGAACAAGATACTGTTAAGTGATGCGACAGGGATTTTATGGTGATAGACGCAAGTGAAGAATCGACGTTTATATATATAGTTTGTAATTGGGCACATTTAAGTTTTAGTTTGAGCATCCAAGATTTTTGGCATGCCATCAGCTCGTAAGAAATTTATACTTACCTTGTCAAACTGAGCTTGAGTTATCTTTTTATTGGCATTACCGGGTTCTGTTTCAGGGTTGATGTGCTTACTCTTCGATTTTGGTTTATGTTTTTTGCTTGTCAGAGTGTAAACTTTATTTAAAGATGAAATCGTGCATTCTCGTAAACCAAAAAAAGGTTGGTTTTGCTTTGTATGTGCATGCAGTGCATCTATTTTGGAATCTCAATGTTTAATCCTTTTGTCTTGATAATTGAGAGAGCCTGGCTCTTGTTTGACTTAACATTTGATGGGATTATGATGTTATAGAGATGGTGTTTTGGCTTAGTACGAGGAATTACGAAAATGAATGAGCTGTATGAATTCATTGGTAGAAAACCAATATATTAACCATTTTCCATTGCTTTAATACTCTTGTTTGGATTGGGGCAGATGGACAGCAATTACCCAGTTGACCCACCATGGAATGTTATTTGTTCCTGTTGGATACACCTTTGGAGCTGGTATGTTTAAGATGGACACTGTTCGAGGGGGCTCTCCTTATGGTGCTGGAGTTTATGCTGGTGATGGCTCAAGAGAGGCAAATGAAACAGAGTTGGCGCTTGCTGAGCATCAGGGCAAGTATATGGCTACAATAGTCAAGAGGCTTGCCCAGACCTGATGACATTTTATTATCTTTAGAAATACACTTGCTTCCCTACTTGTCAATTCGAGTGCATTTGTTTGTTATTATTGGTCTTGTGTTTTATGTACTATCAGACTTGGAGAATCATACGTGGGTTATAAGGTCTATTCTCACATTTCTACGCATTCCACTTTGTGCAGCAAGCTGTATATGATTCGAAAATATTGGAATAGTGGTAATTTGTTGGACATTGTTGTCCTGTAGAGTTCTTTTTTTTTTTTGGTTTCATTTGAGAGTCATTGTAATAAACATGGTTTTCAAGCATTTGACTTGCTATTAGTTCATTTATATCTATTATTATCTAATAAATAACACTAAACTGGTGCTTGCTTTTAGCATTGCCTCTAGTTTTGGATGAAGGGCCGTGTGTGCATGCTGCCGTTCAAGCCAAAAAGCATAAAAAATAATGCTTTTTGGCTTAAAACGCAACAAGCAATCAGAAATTTCCTGTTTGTGTTTTATATTTTTTTAAACAAGTTTGAATTTTTTTATTTTAAATTAATATTTTTAAATATTTTAACATGCTGTATTAAAAATAAATTTTTCTAAAATAAAAAAATATTATTTTAAAAGATAAGCGAGCTGGCAGGCCAGGATTACAAAGTTTGAATATCTGGCAGTGTGGACACGGGAATCTTTCTGATGCGATCTTGTCCTAGAATGATGACTTACGCAAATCTGCTTCAAGAATTCTATTAGCTCTTTTGGATAGGGACATTATAACCTAACGTACAGTACTTGCTAGTGTGGAAGGAAGAACCGCTTAAAGAAAGTTCCAACCGTACAAACAACCAAAGTTTACTAAAAATGCGTACATTCTACTTTTACCTGATTTCACCAACCACAGACTCGCTTTTGAGCCCCGTCTTTCAACCAACAAAAAGCAACCAAAGATTCCGATGAAGCTAATGTCCTTCTGCAGCATATTTTAGAACAGTGACATGGGTATTTGGAATTATTACATAGAGTGTTTTTTAAAACAGCTTTTCAATTAGGAAGGATTTTTTTTATTTTTTAACTGTTCACATTAATATATTAAAACTATCAAAAAATATTAAAAATATTAATTTAATATTTTTTTCAAGTGAAAAAACATTTGTAAAATACATAAACAAAAGCTATATCAAACACATCCTTTAGCTTGTGTGCTCACTTGATTGTCATTCAACAGCAGCATATCTGGTAAGATTTCAGCGTCTTCAAAATATTTATCCTTTCTAGACTTCCAAATGACAAAGCTGATGCAACATCATTCTCGAACACCTTCTTGTCCTTCGTACAAGTGACAAATTTTCTTTTATTATTAGAGGAATCTCTAACATCAGACTACATATAGTCCTAGTACATGAAAACAGCTGAGTCATTTTATCACCTGATGAATTTCCACCGCTACCCGATCAGACATTAATCAAAGATCCATCGGGCTGCATGTTAATCCAATCCAATACCTAGAATCGTTGAATCAAAAATCGAACCGTTCTAGCTAAGGAACCAGTCAGAGAGTTTTTGTAATTTCTCAAGGGCTGTTTTTTGCTTGCTTGGCAGTGGACGTCAATTGAGCCTTGTTAAAAAGCAAATGACAACCATATACGACTTGAAATTCTCAATAGCCGCAGCACCTTCCACGATGGAAGAATCAAATTGCCTATGCAATCTTGGCTGCGCCACCATCAATAGTGGTGGCCAAAATATTTGGGAGGATTTCATCGATTTCACAGGATCCATGAATTTCAGCGATCTTTTCTGGATTGTCTACTTTGGATGTGATTTTGAAAATCATAAGAGTTTATTAAAGATTTTTTTTTGAAATAATTAGTTTTGGTTATATTATTTTTCAATTTTATTATTCATTATATTGTTCATGCGAATAATTTTATTTTTATTTCAATTATTCAATTTTATTTCTTTGCAATCTCATTTTTTTTTAAATTATATTAGTATAGTTTTATTTGTGATATTTCTATTTCTTTAAATACTCTCATATATAGAAAGTTTTGATAAATATTTTAATCATAAATTAAATATTGATGTTGTAGTAAAAAAAATAACAAGGATAAACTTTTTTTAAAATAAAATAAAATAGACTCCATTTGGTCCCTAAAGTTTCAGTTTATGTATTATTTCATCCCTATTGTTTTTGCTTTTTACAATTTAGTTTTAAACTTTATTTTTTTAATTTTAATCCCTAGATGTTAAGAGAGGTCAGAGTACTCTCCAAACAATGTTAAAGAAAAAAAAAAGTGCTCAGTTGGTTATATTGTAGCTAAGCTTAGTTTCAATGGACTCATATCTGTGAAGTAAATTAAATAGAGGTGGCATTACTAGGAGGAAATGTTATCAAACACAATATCTTATACAGAAGATAGGTCTCAATGCTAGATGGAGAATGTTCTCCATTGCTCATAACTTGAAGAAGGGAGATGTGGTTTTTCGTTCATTTGATCCTAGCAAGATTCTATGAACCTTCTTACATAATTACTTAATTTAATTGCTATCTTCGTGGAACCATCAAATAAATAGAAATAATTAGTTGGTTCTAAAGTTAGGGTTACTTTGGAAACAAATCTTTATTGGGTTTGTTTTCAGCATTTGAAGTTTTAGAAAAATGAGGTGCTAGAGAGGTAATTCTGATGTTAAATCTTAAGAACAAAGAATAAGAAAAGTCGCATTACTCCATTAATGGTAATATTTTCTGGTGTGGTTATTTATAAATTGTCTCACGATCTATATTTAGAGTAGTTACCTTCTTGTAGTTATTTATCTTTTGTATGCAACGAAAGCTGGCATTTGTAGCCTTCGTAAATTTTTAGGACAAAATTAATTGATGGAAATTGAATTGATGTGTTGTAAGAGAGAAAAAATAAGAACAAGAAACAATTTTCTAAGCTTATTAATGCTGGGGGGGGGGGGGGGGGGGGGGGGGGGGGGGGGGGGGGGGGGGTTCAGTTCTTCCCTCTGAAGTGGTTTGTGACATATTGTTTCTTAAAAATCTATGTTTCTATCACTTGACATTGTTTCTTTTATTGTTCTTCATGCGAGTTGTCTTCTTTTTAAGGTCTACGTTGTGAGGAAAAACTATTCAGAAGGAGTGGATGGAACTATCGGCCTTCTGAAATTGGATGCTAGTGTTAAACAATTAAATAATGATGCAGTTCATGTCGAGAATCCGAGCATGGTAAGCAAAGAAATGGAAGACCAGGATCTCGGACACCCCTTGCAGAACCCTGAAGAGAACATTGAAAATAATCGCACAAGGGACTATTTCACTAACGATAGACCTGTGTGAGATCATTTTGAAAATGAAAGCGAGGATCTTGGCTCCGAAATCACAGATGGAATCAGACTGTCAGATATGCTGTTGATTTTAAAGAAGTGAGAAGTTTTGAAGATTTGAACATTCTTGTAAATGGTTCAGTTATCAACAGTGAGCTCTCTAAACACCTTCAGATCAAGTATCATGAGCTTTGCTGCAGTCGAAAATGCTTTCTCCATGACCATGTTATTGAGGACCTTAATTGTAAATTGGTAGGTGGAATGCTTGCTGAGACTATCAACATTGCTGATGGTATTAGAGCTCCAGCTTTTAGTACCTTCCAGGAGAATTTTGCAGCTTGGGAGAAGACTTTGAAAGCTTTTCAGGGCATAGGAATTAGTGTTAGTTTCTTTCCTTGCTGGGCTCAAACAGCTTAAGAAACTTTCAGCTAAATGGAAGAGCAGATGAGAGCTCTTATTGAAGGCAAAGCTTTTGGAAGTAACAGAGACTTTGATTAGGCTAGATGTTGAGATTGGCACATTGGAGGTGTATACTAAGATTCGGGAGCTTAAGTTCCTTTGAAAGGCTAAAGTTCCGTGGTAAAATGTACTCGTACACAAGTTTTTGCAGAGCTTATGCTTATGGGAAAGGGTAATGATCAATTGTAAAAATTAAACTTGTATATAAGAGGTGTTTTTCTCCAGCAGCAGTGCTAATTGATTTTAGGTTATGAATAGTTTGCTTTAGAATTAGAAGAAGCTAAGAAGAAGAAGCCCAAAAAATGAGAAAAAAAATGAAGAAAAAAAGGAACATGGTTGGAAAAATCTACAACTTTATAAATTTTATTCAATTCATTAAAAAATTGATCATACTATCAAGAAAATTAAATATAAAAATAAAATCAAAATCAAATTTGTGCTTAAAACTAACTAATAATATAATAAAATAACATAAAATAAGATCCAATAATAAAGATAAATAAAATCTAATAACTTGATCAAAGAAGAACAAGTTGGGCTACCTTCCATCATCGATCATCATACGCATGCGTAAATCGTGTCTCAAGTCCAATATCCTTGTCAACTCTCTTAGGGTTGGAAGAACTCAACCTCATCAAGTATAATTCAAGACAGATATAATAATGCTCTAAAATATTATGATCAAGTTATTGTGATGTCTCTCTGGTAATCTAAGTATAATCTGAATTTGGTTATCTAGTTCATTTACTAGAATTTGTTGAACTTCACCGTCCTTAATAAAAACTACTTATGCATCTAAAGTAATGTTAATATATATTTTTTATGCTAATGATAGGGATAATGAGGTAATAATATCAAAAGGAATATCAGAATAGGTTGTATAAGATGCTTGAGTTATTTTACATATTATAATTATCCAAGTATTTTACAATAATAAGTCTTATAAAATGAAACTAAAATTGATAATAAAAAGAAGGTGGAGTTTGCTATTATTCCCACTTTTTTCCATCAACCAAATGGAAAAATAAAATTAAGAAAAACCATATATTCTTAACCTTTATAAGCATTTTCCATAATTTATCAGGAACCGAGCAAAAAAATAGTATAGAAAACATCTAATATTTATAAACCCATCTACAAAAATTTCAGTTCCAAGCAATACAACATTAAAGAAACCATTTACTAAAAAATAAATGATAACAATAAAAGATGCTCTTTTTTTTTTTGCATGTAATTGATGTTCATGAATTTGATTAGAAAAGAAAAGGTACTAGTAAGCGAAGTGGCCAGATCTTAAAAAGCTTTGTTTGTTAAAATCACAAATGGATCTCTTTCTATTTTCTTTTTTCTTTCTAGTACTACAAAACAAAAGGAATTAAGATGGAAATTTAAAATGAGGAAATTGAAAAACATTTTGACTAAAGACATGTTTTCTTTAACGAAAGAAGGAGTGAAAGTAAAGAATAAAAGTGAAAAAGACAATTGATAAAATACCATAATGAAATTAGTTATTAAAACAAGACAAGAAGATTGAACTTAATGTTTTCATCTTCACGAAAACATAAACTCGGTATTAAAATCATGAGTTTATCAATTTTACCCAATCAACTCATGACTTCAGTCAATTTTATTAGTTTTCAAGTTTTAAAGTGATTTTACATAATAAGTATATGTTGACTCGTAAAATTATATGATTTTATAAGTCAACTCGTAATATTAACAAGTATGTCTTGCATTACTTACTTGCAATTTATGATTGGTTTTCAAATGATATCATTAAGGTATAATTTATGTCATGAAATAATCTTTAACATTAAGTGCATCATGATACTTGTGTAAATTAACTCAAAATTTATATTTTTCATTACCTACTTGAATTTTTTCTATGATCTCAACATGTAAATTATAAACTCTATATACAAAAAACTCAGTTGAATCAGACATTTTAAAGTAAGGAGATATAAAAAGAAGATCTGAAGGCTTTCTAGATTTGTAACTATAAAATTATATGACTAAAGGTATGGAGAGGAACAAATATTATTTTAAGCCTTGTTAGATATAGTTTGGATATAATCTATTAAATTAAGATCATCTTCATCTTTCTTATCATATGTCAGGGATAAAGGAGCTCAACGTATTGCTCTAAACCTATGACGTGTAAGATATCAAGCATAACGGGTAGGGAATTAAGTAGTTTAAGAGGACTGATATCATGAGACTCTTTTAAAACCATATTTATATCTTCAAGCAATTTCACTAAAGAGTTTTCTAAAACTTCTTCATCTACCACTAAAGCAGAAGTATTATATTCTTCATTAACCTCCTTTTCAAAATCATTTGAACTTGTAATGTTAAGTCTCTTTTTTAGAACATCATCTTCATCTAGGTCATCAAAGTCTTTAGGATTGGGTTTATACATTTGAAGATAATACCCTTCCTTTTCATCTATATCTTTATATTCTTGGATGACTAAGAATTTACAGGTATAATTGACAAAGATATGACTAAAACCTTGATATTTAGCACATTGAACCTTTGAATTCATCCCTCACATTTCATTCATGACTTGTTTGCCCTTCTCTTCTTTATAAATTTGATCACTACTAAGATTAGATCTATAGAGTGGAGCAATTAATAAAAACCTATTATTTCTGAAATAAGACTGAAAAGAGGTACTACGACCTAACATTTTATTCATTGACTCTTTATAAGCAACTCATAATCTTGCACTATAGTATAAAATTGGTCAAAAGCAACATTATGAGCATGATCTCTTTTCTAAAATTACCATTCAAACCTTTAAAATACCTACACAAAGTCATAGATTCATTTTCCTTTAAAGTACATCTTATCTGGTAATTATTACATTACATTGTATACTTATCGACATGCTTGTTCCTTTTTCTAATATTGTTTCATTGGTCTAAAATTCTTTCTCTATAAGATTAAGGTAGGTATTTCTCTTACACTTTTGTTTTATTTTAATTCTATGAAATAAGGTTTACCTCTCCTCTCCAAATAATCCTCAATGTTTTTATAGTAAAATTAGGCTTCACCAATAAATTTCATTTTAAAAAATCTAACTTTTCTATTATTAGATAAATTATATAAATGAAAGAAGGTATTCATATCATTAATCCACCTATTAAAAATTTAAAGGTTGTGACAATCATCAAAAGTTGTATCAATCAAAGAAGTTATCCATATCACTAGTTTTGTTAGGGATCATGACTTGTTTATCAAGGTTATCTTATCTAGAGCAGCCTAAATGATAGTCATATTAGTAGTGTTTAGGGTGAACTTGTCTACAATGATTATTGTTGTAATTTTTACTAATTTTTAGATATCTTATATGGAAGTATCTAGGGCTTCAAAGCTTTTAGAAATATTTGGATTTACCTAAGATTTTATTCCCCTTGGATAACCTTAAGGATACCCTTAAATAGAATTATAAATTTAAAGTTAAACAATAAAATCATAATCTTGCACTATAGTATAAAATTGGTCAAAAGCAACATTATGAGCATGATCTCTTTTCTAAAATTACCATTCAAACCTTTAAAATACCTACACAAAGTCATAGATTCATTTTCCTTTAAAGTACATCTTATCTGGTAATTATTACATTACATTTTATACTTATCGACATGCTTGTTCCCTTTTCTAATATTGTTTCATTGGTCTAAAATTCTTTCTCTATAAGATTAAGGTAGGTATTTCTCTTACACTTTTGTTTTATTTTAATTCTATGAAATAAGGTTTACCTCTCCTCTCCAAATAATCCTCAATGTTTTTATAGTAAAATTAGGCTTCACCAATAAATTTCATTTTAAAAAATCTAACTTTTCTATTATTAGATAAATTATATAAATGAAAGAAGGTATTCATATCATTAATCAACCTATTAAAAATTTAAAGGTTGTGACAATCATCAAAAGTTGTATCAATCAAAGAAGTTATCCATATCACTAGTTTTGTTAGGGATCATGACTTGTTTATCAAGGTTATCTTATCTAGAGCAGCCTAAATGATAGTCATATTAGTAGTGTTTAGGGTGAACTTGTCTACAATGATTATTGTTGTAATTTTTATTTATCTAAGATTTTATTCCACTTTGATAACCTTAAGGATACCCTTAAATATAATTATAAATTTAAAGTTAAACAATAAAAAATCATGATACAAATATTTACAACACTAACTTGAAGATTAAATTGAGATTACAAATTATTCGATGAAAGTAAAATTAACCATATAAAGATAATGTTATTCACATTTTTTTTAAATATAAAGATCAATAAAAAAAATACACTATAATAATTATAAGCATGCAATGACCTTTTAAGTATAAATAATTAATCAAATAATAGTAATAATTTTCTTTTATTTTTTATAATTATTAAAAAGTACTAGATCAATATAAATAAAGAAAGAGGTTGATTAATAAAAATAACATATATAAAATTTTCAGATGAGATTTTTTTTTTTGTAAGCATAAAAATAAAATTAATCGCAACCTTAAATGAGTGTAAAAATCACAAAAATAAAATTCAGACAATCAAAAATAGAGTAATTTACAGATAATGTTCAAACGGTGACTTGGTATTGCACAGGCTTTTCTCTATTTTTTCTGATTTTATTTACCATTTTTTAATTAAAATACAAATAAATTAATAAACAATGTTAAAAGAAAAGGAAACATAACAGTAGCAACTAAATTTTGTAGGGGCGAGAGACACTGCGTTTGCTTTCTTCATTACAGCCTTCTCTCAAGTCGCTGGTGGCTGCTGTGGAGTGATGATTTTCTATCCGGACAGTGGTTGAAAGGATGAGGGTTGCTGCTGGTGTTGACCGATTTTTGGTGGTGATTTGAACTGCTGGTAAGTCTGTGAGAGACGGTGTGCTGGTATGTTTAGGAAGACCAATGATGAAGGGTTTGTTGAGTTGATGGGAAGGAGGATCTGCTGCTGCTGTTTCCAGTGTTGGACTAGTGTAGTGGTGGCTGAAATTGATTTTGTGGTGGTGTGGATGATTGTTGTTGTTGCGTGACAGAGGAGCTGTGGAACGTCGTGGCCAGTGGTTGTCTTCTGTATATAGGTGGTTCGATAGCAGGTGGGGAGACGATAATAGGGCTACTGGTTGTTTGCCAAAACAGAAGGAGAAAGGTTGTTGGTGTGTTGCAGTTGTTATCGTTGGTGGCGTGAGTCTGCTGTTGGCGGCTGCGCGAGGAAGTGGTGGTTTTCGTGGGCTGATTTGGCTGGTGGGTTAGATGGCAGCTGTGGAGGTGGGGTTGGAGGTTTTATTGTTTTTTTTTTGGGTTATGGATGGTGGCTGGTGGGTAGGAGGCAAGTGGCTGTGAGGAAGATGAATGGTGTGACTAGGGTTTTTTTTAACTGTTGACAATGATTCTATATAATTTCTAGGTTCTAGAAATTTTATTGAATTGTGAGGATTTTGAAGTGTTGAATTTTAAGAATTTTAAACAGTTTTAAAAGATTAATTAAATGTAAGAATAATTAAAATTTTATATTTTAATATCAAAATTAATGTAGGGCAAAAAAAAAAGATTTGAAGTCTGATAAAAATAAAAATAAAAGATGAAGCTAAGAAGAAAACACCAAAGAAAAAAAAAAGAAAAAACAGAAGAAATAAAAGAATAGAGTTGGAGAAGTCTATAACTTTACAAAATTTAGTTAATTCACCCAAAACTTTATATGTCAAGAAAATAGTAATGTCAAGAAATAATAGGGTTGAAAAAGTATTTAACTTTATAAATTTTATTTAATTCATTAAAAACTTACTGTAATATCAAGAAAATTACATATAAATAACAAAATCTTGATCAAAATTAAATTTTGGGTTTAAAACATATTAACTAATAAAAGTCTAATAAAATAACATAAACTAAAACTCAATAATAAAAATAAATAAAATCTAATAATCTATGTTCAATAACAAATAGATCTATCTTTCGTTATAGATAATCATATGCTTGCATATATCATTTCCCTGCTGGTTATACCGTCATCTGTTCTTGATAATGCCACCAGTTTGCTTCGAAGGGAAAAACACCCGCTTAAGAGTTGCTAATTGTGTTGTATCGTTGCTGCTGGTTAACTAGTTCGAGGGGGAAGAGACAAGGAGTCAGGGAGTCAAAACATGGACTCGTAAACAGAATTCGGGGAGAATGCTGATACCCCTAATAATTGAGGCTGAGAAGTTACAATGGTAATGGGTGGTAGATTAGGGCATCATCGGTTCCCTGCCCAGTCGCAAGAGAAAAAAAATCACATGGAAAGGGTCCCTCTGATGGGCTAGTTTTACTGCTACAGAAAATCACATGGAAAGGGTCCACAAGCAGCTGACAGTCAGTTGTTGTACTGCCACAGAAAATAACGAGCACTGCCATAGATTCTCTAATTTTAATCAGCTGTACAGTGCCTATGTTTGTATCGTTTCTTTTTTTCTTTTTATGCAACTCTTATAATCCCGCTCGATGAACTGCAGAAAACCAAACCAGATAAACAAGATCATAGCAGCAACTATTCCTGTATTTGAGCATGTAATGGAACATTAGATGACATTATTTTGTAGGTGGGGCTGCGCTTCTACAAGAAAGCACAAGGTGATATTGGCCGGGTTGATAATTAAAAAAATATTTAAAATATAATAATTGTTATTTTTTAAAGTATTTTTTTTTAAAAAAGTTGAAGTAATATTTTTTTGTTTTTTTAATTTTTTATATTAATACATTAAAATAATTTTAAAAAATCAAAAACCATTCTAAAGCACAAAAACAAACCTATATTACAACCAAAATAAACCTATATTACAACCAAAATACAAGGTATGTTCAATATATCCTGGAGACTCGTCCAATCTACACTAGGTTTACTTTTAACTTGTTTAGAAAACTGACTTCGTATCCAAACCTAACATGTCTATTTTTATAACCTAGTTAACCCAACCTAGATAGAATAAAATTGTTTCAACTCTTTTTCTTAACTATGGATGGTCTTGCTTTTGCCATCGAGAGGATAATAATTGGCAACCTTCAGTTGTTTTGAGTCTATGTTTCTTTGAAATGTCTACAGAGCGAAAGAAAATATTCAACCCGAATGAACAAAAGGAACACAATCTGTGAGACCGTAGTCCCTCCCCATTACAGCTTTATACCATCAATGAAGAATTGAAGCAGATGCTGTAAACATAAACAAGAGAAGGAAGTGTATAACCTTCCACAATCCATATCATTCGCTCTGGTCTTTTTCCCCATACGAAAATTAGGGGACTTTTAGCCCCTTCCGTGAGGCATAATTTTTTGCTTATCAGCAACTGAATCCTATAATAAATTCCGATTCTTGCTAGGCTTCAAAAAAACAAAAACATAAACTTTACATCGATCTGAAATACGATAGGAGGCATCAAATGTGAACTCGAAGTCTTCCCAAGCTGGTAGCAGCCTCAGGTAAAACCCAAGCGATGCATGCCATTGGTTAAGTAAAAAACAACTACGCCATTGAATGAGCAATGAATTCAAGCTACAGCTTGTTGCTACGTTCCCAGGCTAGATCATCAATGGAGGCTTGACCATGGACCTTTCCACTTCCAAGTGTGAGCTCAAGATCATCCACCCCAATCTCATGAATCCTCTCACCCTCCCATGGCTTCACCGTACAATTCTCAAACTCAAACTCAGTACCTCTCCCCCTTTCTGCTGCTACTCCCCAGCTCAAACCTTCATGCCTATCAACTCCAATCTGAAAAGCACACTGTGGATCCACTGGTTTAACAAGATTAAATGTTGGTGAAGGAGGGGCTACTTGGGGTGCCACTGCATGAAAACTCAACCAAAGGCCAGAGTCCACGGTAGAGGCATCAGACTCGTCACATTCTGGAATTGTGGCAGGTGTTAGATGGGGGCGCCGTGTAGGACTTGAAGGGGCAGAAGCTGCAAAAAGGGGATGGCGAAACGAGTTTAGGGAGCCATTTGAGAGGGATTCCCAGTCAACTTTCCGCTTTGAACTTCTACATGTAGGGGAAGAACGTGGTGGGGTTACAGGAGCACTATTGGATATTCTAAGAGGCGGGAGGTTTGTGGGGATGGAAGCTATGTTTCGGAGGAAAGGGAGGAGGTACGTGGAGGAGTTTCCATCGAAACAAGAAGGACTTGGGAACGAGGAGGATGAGGGACTAGCATGGTAGGAAGGCACAGGGCTTGCAAAATTTGAGGATTGCGGGCTTGGTTGAATTGAGGAGCATGCACTGATGTTTGCTGGCATCCCAGCAATCTCAGATGGAGGTGGCTTGCAGCCCTGTGACAATGCACATTACAGGAGCATTACTCACAGGTGACAAAATTACATAAAAGAAAAGCTATGCATACAGATTTTAGAAGAACATATATTGCTTTAAATTAAAATCATAAATTTCCATCCTAAATCAGTTGATTACAGTATGGATGAGATTATGGGACTACTCATGACACTTAGGAAACCGGTTATAGTCAGGCTGGAGTAAATGGAGGATTTGATTGACAGTAAAGTACAAATTTCCTGATTACAAGTAACCCACAAATCAGCAGAAACAGAAATCTACTCCGATATCAAATTAAAGCAGGGTATAAAGAGAAAAAAGCACTATCCTGCCTTTACTTTTAACATAAATCGAAGAAAAAACCAGACCAGAACAAAAACATCACTGCAAATGACATAAATCAAAGCCAATTGGATAAGGAATCAGGAAACACAAAAACTAATGAAAGCTACAGAAAAGATAAAAAGAAAACACGAAAAGGCTACCTAAACGAAAAATCCACTGCATGCATGTACAGATCTATAAATAAAAATCCATTAAAACAAAAATATAATTAAAATCAAACAAACCTTGCGATAAGTGGTACCATCTTCTTCAACAATCCAACCAGCTTCAGCACAAAGAGCTTTCAAGACTTCATTATTATCACAATGTTTTGGTAACTTATAATTCCCTTGAGTCCTAAGTCCTGTATAGATCTTGGCAGCTATAGCTCTTCTCCTTCTTTCTCTTCTCATGTTATTCTCTCTTTCTTTCCACGTTGGTAACCTCGCTGAGGATCCACCGGCTGTCATTTTCCCCGGCAAACCCTCCCCCACTCACGCTCTCTCTCTCTCGTTCTAGTTTTTGTGTTGCTTTCTCTCCGTAGACTCTATGGTTTTTTGTGTGATTTCTCTCTCTTCGTCACAAAGACTCTTGCTTTTTCTTTCTTTGTTTCTTTCTTACTGAAGCTTCTTTTTTCTTTTTCTTTTTTTTTTTGTATGAAAGAAATATTGCTGCTTTGATGCTTCATTGGATTCTTCTTTTTCACGTTTGTGTTTTAGGACGGTTTGTTGATTGTAAAAAAATATTTTATGAATATTTTTATGTTTAATTTTAAAAAAATATTTTTTATATTTATTTCTTGGTGATTGTAAAAAAATATTTTTTATATTTATTTCTTATAAAATATTTTATAGAAAAATTAATTAATATAAAATATTTTATAGTAAATCTTTAAATTTAATTTATTTATTAAAAAATATTTTTAATTATAAAATATCTCAAAATATTATACAAATAATAATCCAATTACAATATTTTCTAACTATTTCAAGCATAAATTGTCCCGGTATGGAAACAAACCAATAGTAAAATCAATTGATTTAGAGATATAAAAACATTATTTTTAAAATGTATATTTATTTTATACAGAGACAACATGTTTATAATACAATTAAATCATTTTAAATTCTAAAAAAAAAACAAAAAAGAAAATACAATGTTTTTTATATATAATGTCTCATTACATAATAACAGGTTTAGATATACTAGAAATGTTTTAATGAAACTATATGACTCTTAATAAGATGGTTATATCTTGAATTAAATTGAGTAGTTATTATTTAATTTTATCACAATAATCATAAATATCAAAATTAATTATGAGAATTAAAAAAATAACTCAATAAAAAATTAATCTCACTGAAAAATTTCAAATGTCCAAGTGTCAAGTTTCATCTTTTTTATACATTATAAATATACATATAATAGCATTAAAAAGCCATTATAATAACTTATTCATCATAATTTTCAATTAATTTATTACATAATAAAAATCCAAACTTACAAACATTTATGATGGAGTGTTTCTTTTTAATGTGAGATAAAAATATTTTTGTTTTTTATTCCTTACAAGCTACACCAACCATTCCCTCACTAATTTGTAATAAATATCTTTTTATTTGATAGAATTATACTTACAAAAATATATTTTTCAATTTAAAATTTAAATTAATTATAAAACTTGAATTTTACTCAGGTTATTAGAGTTTACATATTAATTTTTTTTTTTTGTAGAATCAAACATATACTAAATCATTTAAAATTCTAAAAAAAAAACAAAAAAAAAATACAATATTTTTTATATATAATGTCTCATTGCATAATAACAGGTTTAGATATACTAAAAATGTTTTAATGAAACTATATGACTCTTAATAAGATGGTTATATCTTGAATTAAATTGAGTAGTTATTATTTAATTTTATCACAATAATTATAAATATCAAAATTAATTATGAGAATTAAAAAAATAACTCAATAAAGAATTAATCTCACTGAAAAATTTCAAATGTCCAAGTGTCAAGTTTCATCTTTTTTATACATTATAAATATACATAGCATTAAAAAGACATTATAATAACTTATTCATCATAATTTTCAATTAATTTATTACACAATAAAAATCCAAACTTACAAACATTTATGATGGAGTGTTTCTTTTTAATGTGAGATAAAAATATTTTTGTTCTTTATTCCTTACAAGCTACACCAACCATTCCCTCACTAATTTGTAATAAATATCTTTTTATTTGATAGAATTATGCTTACAAAAATATATTTTTCAATTTAAACCTTGAATTAATTATAGAACTTGAATTTTACTCAAGTTATTGGAGTTTACATTTTTTTTTTTTGTAGAATCAAACATATTACGCTCACAATACTATACAAGCTTTTAAAAAAAAATCACAATTATTTAGCATTTATTATGGTCATGTGTGAAAATCTCATTTTCATGAATATTTAAAAAAAAAACCTATTTTTTGTAAAACATGGCACCACTTCTATATTCATAGGTGATACAAGTTCTTAAAAAGATTCACAATTTTTTAGCATTTATTATAGTCATGTGCAAAAGTCTTATTTTCATGAATATTTAAAAGAGAAAACCTTGATTCTTATGAAAAACACCTACACTTCTATATTTATATAGGTAGAATTATACAAGTCTTTATTACATTAAACATGAACTTTAAATTTCATTAAAGACTTACACTCATCCTCTTTTATCTAATAAAATGCATTGAATACTATCAAAATATGATCTAAAATTAATTATTAATATCCAACATATACTAAATAATAACTTGTTATTACCCATAAAACTTATAAATAAACTTTTTGCTAGTCCAATATTAGGTTTTCATTACCAATATCTTTAATAATGAGCTTCAATTTTATTTCATTAATTGTTTTCCTTACGGGTCTTTATCATTTACCCTTAAAAGCAACAAAAGAGGGCTTTTCTATCATTTCATTTTTTACACTAAAATAACTCTATTACCTTTAAAATAAAGAATTTTAAAGCTTGTGTTCAAGGGTTTTTTTTATTTTTTTATTTTGATTTTTTTTATTATCATTATTAAAAGTAATTTAGTATTTTAATAAATATGTGTGTGGCGCTTTTTGAAAATCAAAAAACTCCTTTAGCCATGTCGTTTGAATCTTCATTGCATTCTCTCCCCGATGGGATAACATGAGACGGAGAAGGTGGCATGATTTGTTTTCAACTTCATTAATTCTTCAATCTCAATCTATTATATATTTTTTTTAATTTAATTCTTTTTTTCTTAATTTTGTTGTGCAATTCTTATTTATCTTCGATTTTATCTCTTAATTCAAATTGATGATATATTATATATTTTTTAATTTAATTTTTATTTTTTTGATTTCTAATGTTTGATTTATTATTTTTTTCAATATAATCCTTATTATTTTGATTATTTTTATCCTCTTGTTAAATTGATTATTCTTTTCAATATCACCCTTCAATTAAAAATATATAGTTATCCTCTCATTTATTTTGAATTTCTAGTTTAGTTTTTATTTTTTTAAATTATTACTTTTTATTTTAAATTTTTTTATGTTGACTCGTTTCATATTATCTAAGCTTCAAATTTCATATTGATTTAGTTTGACTCGAACTGATTTGTTTTTATCGAATTTTATTATTTTATATTTTATTATTTAATAATTAAGTTATTTTTTGAATTTTTTTTTCATGTTATCATATTTTTATAAATAAATAAATTTATTATAATTATCTATTTTTTATTTTATATATATATATATATATATATATAGAGAGAGAGAGAGAGAGAGAGAGAGAGAGAGAGAGAGAGTTGCAGAACGGCACGAGTACAAGTACACTTTCAAGTCTAAATATGTTGAGGCATTGAAATGGTATTTTTAAGTTGGAGGGCTTTTTCTCCATATCTAAGACACATGTAAAAAGGAAGATTTGTTTTTTTTTTTTCCAGGCAAATAATGTGAGGGACATGTGTTAACTACAATAAGTAGCCTCAAACTCAATGATTCTCTGAAATTTCTTTTTAAATGATGTTTTATTAAATTTTGATTATATAAAAGAATTTAATTTTTTTTATTTTTAGATTATTTAATCTGCTATTCTAAGAATAGCTTTTAAAGAATAAAAATGTTATTTTAATATATTTTTAAATAAAAAATATTTTAAAAAAACGATACAGATGTTGTGTTGGCAAATTGCAAAGGCTAATCAATGAACATTATTGAGGACCTATCTGATCGGAGAAAAAAGGTGACACGTGGAGTAGCAGTTCTGTGCTCTGCTCTGCTATGCTCAGCACCTAGTACAGTATATCTCTTTGGCCTGACTAATTTCTCATTTTCAACTGTTTTCTTTTTTATGAGGCTATAAGTTGGCGAAACTTATCTGTGAAAATGCCACGACTCCTGCCAGTAGAAGTGGAAAGTAATTGTCCACCTCATGGCAAGTACATGATTGACCTGTATTTTCTTCTGCTAGTACTAATAGGGAGCATGCAACCCCTTTGATATTACTTTTCACTTCAATTTAGTGCTTGCGTGAGATTATGATAAATTTTATTTTTTAAGATATTTTTTTATTTACAAATATATTAATATACCAAAACTATTTAAAAACATAAAAAATATAATATAAAATTAAAAAATTAAAATTTTAAAAAATATAATTAGACCATAATAGTAGATAAAATCTTTATATATATATATATATATATATATATATATATATCAAGTGGAATTACCTTATTTTAAATAAATTTCACCGTCGAAAAGAAAGAAATCAAGAGAGGAAGGGAGCTGGAGCTCTATACCAATGTCATGAGTCCATCAATTTTAGAAGAGCAGTCGTGGGTTGGTACACTACCTAACGAAACGACCACAACAATGCAACGTTGTCGCAAAGCAGAAAAAATGGAGCCATTGAGAAGGGTGCCTCCATTGTTGACTAAATGAGCATCAATTTTCATAGTAAAAAAACATTAAATTTTTTTATCATAGATTTTTATTATAATTCTTTTTATTAAATTTTTTTCTTATTAATTACATTTTTCTATGATTAAATTGAAAGTTAATTATTTTTTATTTTATTAAAAAATAAAATTAAAAACATGAGAATATTATAAAATATAGAGAAAGTAGATGACCGTTTTGAAATTAATAAAAAACATATTTTGATTTTTTTTAATAATGTACCTATTTTTCAACCCTTTAATTTTTTTTAAAGTTCACTTTTGATTTAAAACTTTATTTATTTATTTTTTATTGCTAGTTTGAGATAGAAAAAGGAAAGTTATTAGATTCATAAATAGAATGAATATATTAATTGATACTAATTATAACCATCAAAATGATCGATCTTGATGTCTATGAATTTTATTTAACGACAAGATTTTTATTAATATGTTATTTTATATTCAAATCTCCTAAAAAATTAGATATGATCTCTTGAAGTTTCTGGATTTTAGGTTGATTTGTTGTTTTTGGA